GCCCCTGTGAAGGTGCTCTAGAAAATTCAGATTACGTAACAACACAAATTTAAGCATTTATGCATATACGTATATTGTTTATTCCTACTCTCAAGAATCATCTACAACTTTAGAGAATAGACGGGAGTTTTGCAATACATATTTAACACGATAAGCTATGCATGTTTTTAAATATAAATGTAATCTAAACAAACGTTGATATCAAAATAAATTTGTTACACAGAATTTGGAATGTTAGGAAAAAAAGTAAAATGAAACAAATGCTCAGCTTAAGTTTTTTCATGGTGATGTAGAGAAAAAGCCATGTAAAGTTTAACTTATTATTGCATGTCGTTCTACTCGTGATGAAAGGGTGGAAATGAGGTGTTTGAAGATTATGAGTTACAAAGAGTTAATTTTAACATTCATATATACTCCTGAAAATCCTCATTTATTTGACATTTCTCTTACATGATAAGTGGTGTGAATATTCTTTTTCAAAATGTGGTTGTTAAAGGAAAAGGGCTTTAATCCCTGCAATAACATTCTTGCAGAATGTTTCATTACATGGTTTCAGATGCTAGAGCCACATCAAGAAATTACCATGTTTTGCTTAAACTGTCAGAATATGACCTTTGACACATATATATGAAATTTAACTATTCTACATTGATAAAACAGTGAAAACTTAAAAACAAAATGTACAAGATAGGAAAGAACTTGAGTTATTTTAGTTTATATAAACATTAAAATTGTATTTATTTATCAATCTAAAAAAATATAATTTTATTTAGTGAAAATTAGGTGTCATTACCTATTATTACAATATAGGATTACATATATAGAATTATATATATTAATGTTTGACTGTGGATATTAGAAGATTTGCTAGCTACCTAATACCTCTTTCTTGACTTTTTTTAAGGAATATCACTTTAAAGGTAAAATACTAAAATCACACAGATTTTTAATTGCTCTTTCTGTTTAATTATATTTTATAAACATGTTTTCTAATTCCATGTACCTGTCTTAATTTTATTTAATTTCTTTGAGAATAAGAATGAAATTTGTGTATATAAAGGTATGAATAAAAAATAATTAAATCATAAAGCACACATAACAGGAAAGGTTTGTTCAGATTTAGTGTGTTGTTGACCCAAAATTTAAAAAAAAACGTGTTACTTATGTTAATGTAATGTGGTGTTGATCTCTACTAAAACACCCCCCGATTTGTCTGGTAGGTGTCATTTCTTGGTCCTGTTCTTGTTTTAGAAATTTTAAGAAGTGTGGCATTTGTATTTACTTGCTATGTACTTTTAATAATATTTTGAAAACACTTGATATAGAACTGCACTAATTTTATTTTATTGAAGAAAATTGTAATTTCTTTCAAGAAAATGTTTTCATTAAAACCAGCAAGGATTTATATACAAGGTTTTCTAAAAATATTGCATATGTAAGGAAAGTAAAATAATTAATGTTAATTTTATAATATTTTTATTGGAGTTGTTTTTCTTTCATTGGAATGAAACCTGTGACTCTGCTATAAAATTAGACCAATTATTTTAAATATTACAAGGTGTTTAACCACTTTTCTGAAATCTGACACTTGGAAATCCAAATTCATTGATTCATGTCAATATTTTATATGAGGAGAAAAAATGTTAAAGTATTTTTTTTGTTATAGTTCACATTTATATGCAAGTAATTCTTAGGCTTTTTTTTCTGAAGCTCAAAGAAAGGGACTGACAAAACATGAATGGAGAGAAAAGAGGAAGATAAGAAACAAAATGAACCAACTGAAGAAAAAAGATAAACAAAAGAAAATGAAAGTAAAAAAAGTGGGAAGTAACACATTCAGCACCAAGAATCTTAATACAGAGTTACTTCCAAGGCAGAAACCAAGACCTATTTATAATAAAGAAGGAAAATTGGTGTATAGCAAATTTGACTTTAGTGAATCTGGTATTCCGGAGAGAAAAAAAGGAGAGTATTCTGGAAAGAACCATAAAAAAATTATTGAACGTGTTCAACAAGATAAAATAAAGTTACAAAAACTGGAAGGTCAGAATCCAGAAAAGGCTCAAGAGCTTCAAGAAAAAACTTCATGGATGAAAGCTATTTACAAATCTGAGGGAGTGAAAGTGAAAGATAACATTGAACTCCTGAAAAAGTCCATGAAGAAGGAAGAGCAGAAGAAAAAGAAAAGTAGAAAACAGTGGCAAACCCGATTAGATGATGCAAAGAAAATTCAGTATGAAAAGCAGAAAAAAAGAAGAGATAACATCCATGCTAAAAAGCAAGAGAAGATTGACAAAAAAATCAAGAGAGCCAAAAAGAAAGGAAGACTCATACCTGGCTTTTGATCAAACACTTAAGAACATAAAGTTTCTACTTGCAAAATAAATCACTGTAACTAATTTTCAATAAACAGTTATTACAAAGACAAATGTATTTGTAAAATTGTAAAACTTTGTAGTTCCTTCAAATACTTTATGCTCAAGAGCTTCCAGTTCAAACTTAACTCAGTATTTTACACAGTTCCCTTAAAAATTGTGTACTAGTATCTGATAGTAAATAAAAGTCTTACATTTTATAGAAAATTTATAGTAAAATACATCATGAGTGTATACTAAACTGGTGTGTGAATTTAGGTGATAGTTATCCACATAAGGGTCATTGTGTTTTTTTAAATTTCCATGCTAATTGTACATATCAGAGTCATTGTGTGTTTTAAATGTAATATGGGTGATGGTTGTCCATATCATTGTCATCATTAATTGGAGAAAATCATCTGTAGCCCCAGATTTCTAAAAAAGATGCAAACAGGAAGAGATTATTCCAAAGTTTATAAAATTAAACCATTTAATCCATAATTGGAAAAAGGGAAAAGAAGAGTCGAAATGCAACAGTTAGACAAAATACAGTGACAATAATTTGAAAAAAGAAGATTTAAAACTATGTAACTTACTTATCTTCAACACCACGTTAGATGACTTGC